TACACTTATATAGCTCTTTTTTGGACACTCCACTTAAAGCGCTTTACAGGTAATGGGGATCCCCTCCACCACCACCAATGTTACGCATTAACCTGGATGATGCGATGATAGGTGGGGCTTTATCAGTGCCTTTGAGTACTTGGATCAGTTTAGAAAATTTTAACCTCTCAGAGTAGGATGCTTTGCATCTTTAAGCCCACGAATGTCTTGGTTTGCTCTTGTACTGATCCAAGAGCAGCAGCTGTATATTCTGTGTATTGTTGTGACCTAAGGTGTACACAGTATTCTAGATGGGGTCTCAGTTGTGTTTTGTATAATTATCACATGGTGCACTATGTGGAGAAAACCCACTAAACAGAGGCGTGTAGATCAGTTAATAGAGTACCTCCGTGCTGAGTAAGTGGGAAGAGCGCACAGCCAGACGATCACCATAGTGTATTTAATTATCAACAGGGAGAGTGAGTCTGAGTCAGCACTCGGGAGTTGTCTGTCTGCACAGCAGTACCGCAGAAAAAGTGTTGGGATATCTCCTGACCCCTGAAAGTATCGGAGTGTATCACCAGTCATGACCAGGTTATTGCAACATAACAGTCCAGCTCGTCTCCATTCAACTTCAAATTCTTGGGCTTCCTCTTCACACCCACTGGAACGGAGGCGTGAGTGTGTTTGTGTACATTGCCGTGCCGCGGTCAGAACGCGCCAGCGTCATCACAGACGGTGCGCGTCGCTTCTCATTGGCCGAGACAGCCAGGTGGGCCGCCTCTCCGGCGGCTTATTCAGCCCCTTACGCTTGAAGGCCTCGGCAGCCCAGAGGGATTACAGTAATGCTTGGTTATCTAGGTTATGGCTGTGCTCCAGCCCTGTGTTTCTGCAGACCTGGGGGTGGGGGGGCGGGGGAGCGGGTTTGCGGCGGGCCGGACTCCCTGCAGCGTAGTGATCGGCTCGCCAGGAGGGGGCGCTGTTTGGTAACTGCACGAGCGCTGTCTGTACCCACACGCACCCTTCTGACTCTCCTGGGGCAGTTAAGAGCTGGATGTGTTTGGGTTAGGGCAGTTTTGGGGGTGCGTGGGATGCAGCGATTTGATCTAAACCAAAAAGCAACGTAGGAAAAAAAGGTTTTTCTGTCGAGTTAGGCAGGATCAGAACATCAGGAAATCATGACGGCAGGAGCAAATGGGCTCAAGCCTTCGCCAACTTTTGAGAAGCAATGGTTTAGTTGGCACGCTGCCTCCCACTCCCACACTGCCCCCTTTTATAAGCAACTGGAGCACAAGCACTTACAATTTGCGTTCAGCTGATCTGCTAAATGGCCATTTTCTATTCCGTTCTCACCGCTGGCTCTGTACACAGCTTCACCGCTGTGCTCCAGAATTGCTTCTGCAGAGCTGTGGCTGTGTAAGTGCTACCAATAAGAAGCTGCTAAACCATATGCGAATATGTTAATGACCTCCTTCCCAGCTGCAGTTGCTAGAAGTAATCAGTGCTGTAATTGCTTTCTCTTATCAGTTGTAATCTTGCAGCTCTGAAGTGTGGACGTCTTGGCAGGGTTTCGCTGTCTGTGAAGATAAATATAGCGGTGGGGCCCGGCAGCAGCTGATCTCTCAGTGCTGTGGCGCACTGTAAACAGAGATATATCAAGCCAGGCAATCAGGGGAGTCTTGTGTTTGCTTGTGCAAGGACGGTCTTCGTCTGCAGGCGCACGTTCAGACATGATCAGGAATTGGCAGAGAATGTGTTCTTGGGTGCAGTTGCTGTTTTTGGTTGTGCTCTTACGGCTTGGAAGCTCATCAGCGGGGCTTTCGGGTTTGGGGCACATCTGTTTCCTGAAGGTCCTGTGCTTTTTGTCCCTGCAATTTAAGCCCTGCTGGATAGATCGCAATAATGTTAAGTGTTATTCCTCTAAAGTGGATTTTTTAGGTATCCACAGTTCATGCCTCCAATATTAACATTTTTATTATTATTGAACAGGCAAGAGCAAGTTTTATAGTTCGAAACTGTGGAGAGCTCTGACATCATACATTTTCACTGAATATCTTTAATTCTGAATGTAAGTCTGAGATGTTTTTTTTTTATTGAGCAAGTAGGTATCGTTTATTATGGCAAGGGAGCTATTAGGAATGTTTATTGCAGCACCAGATTTTATTTTCTTTCTGCCTCATATATGCGTGGCTTCTAACTGTCCTTCTGCTTGTCATAGCTGGAGCTAGTCTTTCTACCTCTTTTTTTAAAAAAGCACAACGATCTCACGAAGAACATTTTGCCAGTAGCTAATTGCTCTGAGGTTTTCGTTCTGTCTCTTCCAAAAAAAGAGGCCAACATGCTTCAGCAGCATGACTGCTTGTCCTGTTCCACGCACCTGCAGCCTTTAGTGTTAAGAAACCCCTCCGCTTAGTTTCCACTGGTGTGTCCACAGGGTTAACTCCATCAATACCTTCTGGGAGATGACCTGAGTCATTGTGCGGTTTTTTATATTGAAAAGCTGCTCATCATTCCATTCTGCTGTTTTACAACATAGGAAAGGTCAAATCAAGAGGAGCCCATAAGGTCTATCCAGCCCATTTTGCAGCCAGTAGCTAATTGATCCCACGATCTCATCCAGCTGTCACATGAAGCCCATGTGTCCACTTCAACAACATGGCTGTGTAACTTATTCCATGCCCCCACAATCCTTGTACTTTATGTACAGCGCCCGTACACTGGGATCATACCAC